ATGGTCAAAGGAGCTTGGAAAGAAAAGCGTCTGGACTTCTTTAAGTTGCTTGAAGACGTTTCACCTCTCATCCGAGAAGCTTCTTCAGTTCTAAGGTCAAATGGTGGAGAGTCCACCAGTAAATTTGAATAGTTATCTACTTAAACCAGAATGTTGCGACATTTCAGCAGCAGTCCAATGGATAAACCAGCTTTTGTCACAGTTGGCGGAAGCTGGCTGTGTGGTGTGAGAAAGAGGACCCAAGTGCTGACACTTGAAAAACAAAACACATCTAAATCTTATCAGAAGGCGAGCCGTTTATTTAAGGCTGGTTAACAGTACAAAACAAAAGGGCAAAAGTGAAACTAAGCAATAACATAAACTGGGAGAACTAAGGAAAAACATAAAACCAACCTGGAACGTGAACATGGACATGGAAACCTGGCACAGAAAAACATGAAATGTGAAGACTTGGGATGAGTACATAAAGATCTTGAAGCATGGCAGAATAGCTGAAAAAATGAAAACTAAGAGGCTAAATACAAACAGCAGGTGATCAAAGGGGGAGTGGAAACACATGGGGAAACAGCTGATACGAATGAACATGATGACGCCACACGGGAAGTAGAACTAAACACACTGAACATGGAAGACTTTCAAAATAAAACAGGAAACATGGAGAGATGTAGGGGTGACGCAGACAAGAAACACATGACCAAATTCTCTGAATGATTTTGACATACTTCAATATAAGGACAGGAATTTTAGACACATAAAAATAGTACTATTTGAAAAAATCTGTTTTAATCTGAAATGACCTGTTTAAACAAAATAATAATAATAAAAAAATTATTAAAACTTTTTTTACTTGCTCCACTGCCATCCTTCCGATGTTGACTTAGTAATTACTGAAATGAGAATTGTTATCTTTAAGTGTCAGATATTGCCAAAGTTGGTGCATTAAGGCATCAGTCACAAAGGTCACCTTGTGCCCATCCACAGGATGTCAGCAGATGACTTACAAAGCTGTTGCTTATTGTATGTTTTTTGTTGGTCACGTCATCCTGAGTTAACTTTCGTGACTGCTTTGCAGACGTTTACAATGATCAACGGTTTCATAACTGGAAAGTGGTTCTATTAATGCAAAAACAGCAAGGTCTACATTTGTTTCTATTAAGTATTGTGGGTGTGCTGTCAGTACAAGTTGACCAGACAGTGGAGCCTGTATTTTGTACGGAGCTCCACAGTTAAAAGCGTCTTTTTTTGTGGCTTTTTTGCTTCTGTGTGCCAGACGGACACATATCCAGTCAAATCCTTGTTTTAAATCAAGCTTATGCTTTTGGTTACACTTTACTGTCTTACTATCACTAACTCACATTGTGCAGCGAAGGTGACAAACAGCCAAAAGCATGTATTCCTTAAAAGGCTGCACATTTCAAGCTACGACGCCACCACATCAGCTGAAGTTTCCATGCTAACACACATTTGAATCTACTAAGCCTTGTGGACATTATTCTCGTAGCTATCATTGACCAGGTTAGATTTCTGCTGGTTTTCGTGAACATGTCATCAACTTGAATGGCACGCGCATTTATACCAGTGTTCATTTCATGGAGCTAATAACTTCTATAATTAACATCACTGCAAAAGTAGCTGTTCTAAATTACAAAGGAAAATACAGACTCGCAGGCTGTCTGGTGCTAAAGATAAATTGCAACCCGATCAAGCATATATAATATAGTACAATTATGAGATCAGTATTTTGCTTCATGCCATGTTAGTAGTTACAAAATCACGACAGAACCTCACTAAACAGTGTTTATATCAGGTGAAGACAAAATGTACAAAAAAAATATGTAGAGTAGACGTGTAAGCTTCAGCAGAAAAACTATCTAAATTATATAAAATCTGTCATACAATAATGATAATGATATTCTGCTTTTTGTTTTCAGTTGTCAGTTTTCACCATTTGCTAAAAAAGCATTTCCACTGAGCAGCCGCCCATATGAAAGAACAGCCCGCCTCTTTACATAGAGACAACTTTTACTGGAGCACAGTTCACTTACAGACATTGTAGTGGTGGTATGCACAATGATGAACTTTACCTTGATGCTACTTTTGCCCTGCATCTTTAGTAAGTACATTTTTGACTTTTTTCTCAATAAAGTTTCAACCATTCATTCTGTACGATAATCGAGCCAAAAAAAATCGTGTAGACACTTCATGGATGGTGTAATTCGATGTTTGGTTCCTGTTGAATTTCAAATTTAGGATGCCTTGTTTGTTTTAGGTTGGATCTCATCCTCAGTCGCACAGTTTTACACTGTGGAGGTTCAGCCTGGTGAAGAAGTCACAGTGAAGTGCTCCAATTTCAGCAGATTTCACTCCCGCATATTTTGGTTTAAAATGACCAGCAGTCCCAACATTAGTTCCATCTCGTCTATGTTAACTTCTGAAAAGGTTTTTTCCTGTGATGGAAAAAAATTTTGCACGTCATCCAACACTTCTGTGGTATTTCTCAAGATCAAACAAGTAAATTCATCTGACTCTGGGCTGTATTTCTGTGGAGAGAAACTCAATGACAAGCCAGTAATTGTAACCGGAACATATTTAAAGGTTCAAGGTAAATAACACTGTTTCTGTCTTTTTATATATGTGTTTAGTTAAAATAGGTAATATAGTATAATTTTCTATTTTCTATTTTTTAGAATTATCTGATGGATTAACAAATCCGTTAAGTATCATCCTGAGTGGGCTAACTATTTTCCTTCTGCTGGTCATCATTGTTCTGGTTGTCAAAATCTGGAAATTTCCTACAGGTATCCATATTTAAATAGCAGATACAAAGGTACTGACCTCAGAACTTAAGGATGTATTGTTTCTTTCAGCTCAAGATGATGAAAAAAATCCACAACACAGTGAGGTAATTTATTTTCATATCAAATTATAATTTTGGATTAAGATTTTTCAACAGATAATGAAGTTATCCAGGCTTAGGATAATATTACCTTTCAAATTAAGTCACATACTGTATATTTATTTTGAAATTACAGTTTTTCTGTCACCAGTTTTTATTCCCATTTGCTCAAAAACTGGTGAAAATTCAATTCAAATTTCGAGCAGTGGACATTTATCTAACTCAAACCCTGCCTCTAACCTTAGATGGCTTTGTCCCGTTCTGGTAACACGTTAACATGTAATGCTTTGTTATTAGTGACTTTAATCATTTTCCTTAACAGAATGTGACCTCTGATGCCATGAATTATGCAGCTCTGAGTTTCCATCGAAAAGCAAACTACAGAAGGCCTGTACCACCGAGAGAGCAGGATACGAATGTAGTGTATGCTGCTACACGATAGATTGAGCAAGCAGAGAAACAGTAGTGAAACAGTGAAATATATGTGCTTATTGAGTTTGTGGGGTATTTGCATTTGGTGTGTTTGTTACGTGTTTCGTGTGTGTGTGTGTGTGTGTGTGTGTGTGTGTGTGTGTGTGTGTGTGTGGTGGGGGGGATGGGGGGGTTATAAATACTAGTGTAAAGTGTGCGCTGTTATCTTAGCTATTAATATTATCAAATTGTCTCTTACATCCACAGTTTGTATTACAGTTTTATCTGAGTAGATGTGCATAAATATTAATTGAAAATAAGTTTGCGACAGACTGGCGACCTGTCCAGGGTGTACCCTGCCTCTCGCCCTATGACAGCTGGGATAGGCTCCAGCGCCCCCCCCGCGACCCTGAAAAGGATAAGCGGAAGCGAATGGATGGATGGATGGAAGTTTTTTCTCCTTCCCAAATTTTGGAGCAGCCTGCTTAAAATGTTGGCCATGTTTAGTATGAACATCCACCACTACAACATTACTACATTATAAATTAAAAACAAATTATTAATCCATTCATGCTGGTTTATCCAAACAAGTTGAATGACAGAATAAAAACAAAAGAAAAACAAAAGCTCAAGTCTCAAGAATGAAAACCTTTTTCTGGTACTCAGTAATTCCAGAGGCACAGTTCCACAAACCATGATGACCTCCATTGACATTCTCATAGCACTGATTGTTTTAATTACTCTTTATGAAGGTAAATATTTTTGATGTGATGTGAGAGCTTGCAGAATAAAAAGTGAGAATGTGTAGAAATAATTTGAACTTGTATTTTTCACGTGTAAACTTTTGTATACACTTGTTTTATATTTAGAGTTACAGGAAAAATATGCTGGTCCTTCTTTATCAGGGTGTTGGTGTTGTGGGTCCAGGTGAGATAAGCAGAGATCTGGGTGCCCAGTAACCTGAAGGTGGAGACAGATTACACCCATTCTCCATTTGAGGGGAGTGGACCTCTCTGTGTCTCCTCCAGTCCATGATAGGTTCTTTCGTTTTAAGGATGTTCAGTGTCAGGTTGTTTTCTGAGCACTGGTTGGACAAATTCTCTACCTCGGCCCTGTACGCTGTCTCATCTCCATTGGACATCAGCCCACCACGGTGGTGTCAACAGCATTCTTAAAGATGATGTTGGTTGGATGGATTTGTGTACAGTCCTCCATGGACCGATTTGCTTTGTAAGCAACCTGGTAGGCAGTCTCTGATTTGCTGGGACACCATCCGCTCAAAAATGTCATGACTACAAACGTGAGGGCTATAGGTCTATAGTCGCTAAGGCTGTCTATTCCAGACTTTTTTAGCACTTTGTTTAATGAGGGAATTAACACAGACACAGAAATCCTTTATTCCTCATTAGGAACAGCAGCAAAAACCAGAGTGAACAATCACTCTAGCTAATGGTAATGGTGCTAGCTAACTACCTATCAACATAAATTTACTGATCATTGTGCTGAGCTTACATTAGCATTTCATTTTCATTTCATTTATTTGTTCATTTTCAGGCACAACAAATACCTATATCGAACATAAAATGCACAAAACAAAAAACAAACATTACTTAGATAGTTGACAGACATTCTGTCCACATTCCAGCAGTGTCTTCTCACTC